TTCTAAATGCATGTTGATTCTAAACGTGGGGGGAAAAACCGGAGGACCTAGAGAAAAATTCATGCGACCACCGGTAGAGAGACACGCAAACTCCAAATTTACAGGTGTCAGGGTTAGGATCGAACCAACGACCTCCTGTATACCAGGCGAGGTAGTTAACATCTCGCCACAGTGGCACCATACACTGAGTCCTCTTGAATTCATGGCCACAGCGTGGGAAGAGGACAATAATTAACGTATGACACCAAGGAAAAAAAACAGTAACTTCTGAAGACTTATAGCAAGGGTGGCTAAATCGTGGCTTGTGACATCAGGTGGAACGGCCTTCACTGGAGGGAACTCGAAGAGGGCATTTGGTCTATTCTTCCACGCTGACCAGACGTGTCGGAGCAGGTGTGAGTACCCACACTTTATCCCACCACACTTGACCTGTCAATTGACTAATTGCATATGTTTTCCCATTTCCAATGTTTCAACTGTCTTGCATGATGATGGAATCGAACCACTGAACCTCTGAGTTGCAAGTCCACTGTGCTCACTGTTACACCACGGTATTTGCCTATGGCTCTATAAGATGCAGATGATGTTTAACTTTTCAATACAACTTCATTTCCGAACAGGGACAATCTCCATGAGTCTGGAGTCGTCCCAGGACACTTGGCCCTGGCAGATGAGTTGGTGTGTCACGGTGGCGAGATGTTAACTACCTTGCCTGGTATACAGGAGGTCGTGGGTTTGATCTCGACCCTGACGCCTGTAAATTTGGAGTTTGTTCTCCGCGTGGTAGCGTCGATTTTACTCCGGGTCCTCCGGTTTTTCCCACCACATTTAGAAACGTGTGCTTAGAGAATTTGGCTGCTATAAATTGCTACATGATAAGACTATCATTTGGGGCCAGGTCACTTCTGAGTGTGCCTTACCTGCTAAAAAAGAAAATAGTTTTTAGATGCGATTACTTCCGGGACGCTCCCGCAGATTTCTAAATTCAAAACTCCGCAGCAAAGCAACGCAAGCGAGCCTGCCACGTGACCACCGCACACGATCCACTCTGGTGCATTGTGGCTCTCGGCCACATGAAGGGTTTGGAATGTGGCTTCGTAGGATCGTCAGAAAGTTTGGCCACCCTCTGGGTTATGATGGACAGACAGGAGATTGAGTAATCCGTATTTGTTTGCGTTAGGCCACTTTGAAGTTTGATACTCAAATTCTCACTTGAGTTGCCTGGAGGTTGCGATGCTCAGCACTGAGTTTGGTGTTACCAAGTCAGCAGTTTGACTCCTCTCGCTCTCTCTGCCATGAAGTATTGCCCATGCTGCAGGGAATTACCCAAGCATGCCAACCGCTGTAAAGCGGATGTTAAAGACTCCGTTCCAAAAGTGCTCGCAAAAGTGCGCCGTGCGTAAAAGCCCACGAACGTACAACATTGTCAATTACCAACAAGTGGCAAACTCAAGAGTGTGACCGAAACTCACTCACGGTGCAAATAAATGCGTAATTGTAGTTGGCGGTTATTCTTTTATCACCACATCTTTCTTGAAATACAGTCTCTACTGTATTGCATGTCCAAGATATCCCATCTGGTCAACTCACAAGAATGCTGAATTGATATGATATTTAATGAAATAAAATGGCCCTTGAATATTATCAATTGCATCGCTCTCGAAGTGAAGACTTCCATATAAGGCATACGATTTCGGTTCCTCTTGTGAAATTGTTCATTACAGTATGGCTCAGAACTCTAAGTTAACATTTGATTATTCTGTACACGTAGACAGTTCAAAGTGCTCAAATGTAAAACTTCGCTGGCGATAAAAAAAAAGCGCATTCTCATCCAGAATTGATGCTGTTATATATCAAAGATTCAAAGATTCAAAAATTCCCCGTATAGCCTGAACAGACTGTAGGGGCAAGTGCTGTTAGCGAGCACCTATGAAGGCCGGAACGGTACACGAGGGGGATGGGTGGCCAGCACCATGCCCGACCGCCTTTGTCTCCCTAGTGGCAATGTTTACACACCTCACCAGGTACTCATTTGAGGCTGAGTCGACCTAGGGGAGGCCCTGGACCGGTTCAGATAATCGTCACTGGTGTTGGCCGTGAGCGGGAATCGAACTCGTGTCGCCGGGTTCATAGCGCAGCGCGCTAACCGCTACACTACCGCTCCCCACGTGTATATATACACACACACACAAAACTGTGCACAAATGCAGCGTCAAATTAAAACATTGTCATGTCCTGTGTCGTCGTGTCTGGGTTATTGTTGCCGCCACTTTGTTTTAAACAACAAATCCCTCATCCCTTTGCAACTCATGAAAAATCTTTCCTGTAAGTGCCTTTATCTGGCACTGAAACTGCGCTTTCCCAACAACCCTCTATGCTCTTCAAGGCTGACACGTTACCACACAGCCCGATTTCTTTATATCGGACCTACGTGTGAAATATTTGCTTCAAGAAGAATTTTGAGCAAAGAAGCAAAGTGTAATGACATGAAAGCTTCTGGTGGTGTATAATTAACTGCGATATATTTATTTTTATTCTTAAAAAACATACCTATGCTAGTACGTAATTGCTTTTTGATCTGCATGACAATTAACTCAATTTGATGTCGATTAGAGTAGTAATTGCTATCAGAGGGCACATTCTGAATATCCTTGCATAATTGTAGCTGTCAAAATTACTTTGGGACCATTTAAACCATCACAGCACTGTCTCGTGTTAAAATTGAAGTCAATGTAAAAAATATATAATCCAAACCATAACCAACTCCTTTTCCCTTCAAACTAAAACTGTGGTATCGTGAATGTACGATGACATTTATGTTATAAAGTTATGTTTTTCTTTTTTACATTAACATTTTCAGATGCCAGCAACGCTGACAATCACATTCAAGTGAAAAATGCCCACACAGTCAAATTCATTCTACAGCAACTCCTCCAAGTTGTGCTTTCGACAGGCTCCATTGTAATGAGAGCCGTGGCGTTTCTATGCTGGTATCATGGGCCAAGCTCTTCCAACCTCCCGCATCCAGCAGTGTCAGTGGGCACGTCGCGTTTGGTCGATTGACAACTCGCCCGCGGGTTGGGGTAAAGAGTGCCTCTCCCATGATTCATATTCTTAGGTTTTTCAGTAAAGTCACGTAGGTAAAAAAAAATTCAAAATTAATAAAAGTAAAATAAAATAAAAATCACGACGTTTCGGAGGCAACACAAGCTTCCGTCTTCAGGTGGAACCCATGATTTCTGGCCGGCGTGGAAGAGTAGGCCAACCAGCCTTGAGAGGGGCTCCGTACTGCCCCCCCCCCCCTCTTGTACAGGTCCTTCTGGACACGCCAGTTGACTGGCTGTGGTAAAGCCACAATACTGATGGTGGGTAGAGGGGGGCGAGTGCAGAGGTGGGGGGCAAGGGTGGGGATTTAAGAAACTTTCTCAATTTCAATGTTTTGCGCCAGTAGATCGAACCAGTGACCTCATGTTTGCTCGTCTAGTGTGTCTGGCCATTATTACCACATGGCAGCATCCACAAAATTTTGATTATAAATGCGAAAAACATTAAAAAGCCCTTCACTCAGCAAGCGGACATCCAGCAACACATAGCTACAAGTAAATACAATTAAGAGTAACTTTTACACGCAATGCCAACCTTCCTGAAGCTGACGCATGGCATTTTTTTCCGTCTTAAACAAAAAAAGTAAAAAAAAAACCCCAAGATGCTTTTCTTTTTGTTGTTGTTGCGGAATGCTTTTGGTGTGAGCGGTGCATTAGTTCTGCACATTGTGTGTTCTGCTGGGTGGCCCGTGGGCTGTGCCAACACGATGATTGGCACCATCCCCACGACAGGCACCCTGCCAGCGTGCCCGCTAACGTCTTAATGACTAGCAAATTTATTTAGCAAATTCCTGAAACATCCGGGGTAAAAAAAAAACCCACCCACGGGTTCACTTAAAGAGGAAGACGTTTTCTTAAACATTTATTCATTTCAACGGCGGGCGGGGTTTTTTGTTTTGTTTTAATGTGTCATTGTACACAAAGTCAAGTCAGATTGTTGTTACCATGCTCCAGAAACTCGTTGGGGGAAGGAAACTGTTTTGCCATTGGTGGCCGCAAATAAGTGGTGGACATTCCTCGTTCCGCATGGAAGAGGCCAGGTGTAGCACTTCTGCCTCCGAGTAACGAGGACCTGGGTTTCGTTCCCGACTTGGGCCACTTCTTTCGTTTCGGCGTCTGTACGTTTTACCCCTGTTCTGAATTTCACGTAAACTACTCAAAGGAGATTACACACAGCGACGTGCCCCTTCCACTGTGAACACATGGCAGGGACCCTCTTGGAAACGAGTCATGCGACTCAGTGACGCATTCCTAGATAAACAATCGGAATAATCTTCTTGGTTCTTTCGGTAAAGTCACGTAGAAGGAAAATACTAAAATAATAAAAATAAAACATAATAAAATACAATTCTCACGACGTTTCGGCCACAACGCAAGGACGGCTGTCGGAAAGACGTTTCATTCAGACGCTGTCTTTCCGACAGACCTGTTCTTCACCTGAGTACGGCTGCTTGCGTTGTGACCGAAACGTCGTGAGAATTGTATTTTATTACGTTTTATTTTTATTATTTTATTATTTCCCTTCTACGTGACTTACCGAAAGAACCAAGAAGATGAATCCCTGCAGTCACGAAAGCTTTAAATCGAAATCGTAATAATGAAGAATAACGTACAGTGTGTGCAGGGACTGACCACACCTGCCTTCCCAAAAGGTGACAACGCGTCCTGCCCACGATGATGCTGCTGCTAAGTGAATCCCTGAGCAGGAGTTGAACTCACAGCCACCCGATTGTGAGTCAAGCGTTTTAACCATAACATCCCCCGGCTAGATACACAACCGTGCGTGTGCCTACGCATGCTCGGAATTACACTGCACCACGGGATCAGGGGGGCGTCTGTACGTCAGGGATACAGGCGTACACCAGAGGCATCACGTTGGATGTTAAGGATGGTGAGTCAGAATCAGAAATATTTATTTATACCGGAGGAATTCGACGAGCTATGAAGATCTTTTTCACCGATGTCCAATAGGGAAGGCCAGAACGTAGCAACAAGAAACGATACAACAGCATGATAGGAGTGCAAAGTATATAACATGGTTTAGCAAATCACTTAAAAAAGATGTATGCAAATGAAACTAAACTATTTTGTATTATACCAGGTAATGTTGACTGAGCCATTAGCTTGTTTTTCAGAAGCGACCTGGCCACAAGTACTAGCATAACGAAGTGGCTTGTCATCTAAATAATATCGACGCATTGTTTGTAAATTGTGGAGGGAAAAACCGGAGGACTTGGAGAAAGAAAAAAAATCCACGCGACCACGGCGAGAGAGACATGCAAAATCCAAATATACAGCAGCAGGCGTCAGGGTTGGGATCGAAGCGGATGGGGGGTAGTAGTGCAACCCAGGGCACAAAGAGACGATGGCTGATGGACGAGACTCGTGAGGGGATGGCACCCAAAGGAGGGAACGCGCCTAAGAGGACCATCGCCGCTGAGATGCGGCGTGGAGGTCAGCTCACGTGCAGGAGTGAGATCGAGAGTGGCGGCATGGAACCGTTGACTACGGCGTGCGGGACGCGTTGATTAATCTAGCAGTGGATCGACAGTGGCCTATGATGATGCGTGTTTATGGCTATAATATACACGTAATATGCAAGGCTTGTGGGAAAAATACAATTGCACGGAAAAAAAACCCTCGAACAAGCTGACCATTTCGCGTTTGTTCAAACCAATGCAAACATTTTTGTAAATGCCTCACTCTCTCTGACCGGGTGAAGGGCTGAGTAGAACTGGCCGTGATGTTTGAAGGGGGACCGGGTCCGCTTACCTGCTCGTGCCGCGCGATGTGCCCTGAGCAGAACTAATGCCCCGCAATAATCACAGGTACGATCAGGACATCCGCTGCTGCCGCTGGCTCGCAGTGGAACATCTGCCCGCATTCCTTCCCAGTGGATTCTTGGCAAGGCTCCACACACCTCGACGCTCTCTTGTGATACAGAAATTCCCCCCCAAACTCCCCCGCGAAAAGAATGTCGAAGCAATGCACACGGAACCATTACATGGCGTTGCGACGCGCGTACGGCAGCCTCAACATAGACTCAACCGGTTATTAAAAGCCAGGGGGATATAAAGATGGGGAACGAAGCCGCTGCCCGTAAACCAGACGGGTCCCCACCGAAAGAGGTCAGAGATTTTAATTTTAAAGTCTCCCCCCCCCCCAACCCTTTAATACGCCCTTGTGTTCTTTGGCATGTTCACAGCCTTGCTTTGCTCTTAAATGTCGGGCAAGAAGTGGCGAAACGGTTTTCGAGCAAATGCTACATTTTCATCCGTTGAGTGGCAGGCCTCGCAGATTAATGTATCCCAAGGAGCGTATGTTGAAGCAGGGCAACTCGACTTCACCGAGTCTCATCGGCAGGTCCGTGACCTCTTAGTTCAATGCCATTGCACATCGCACTGCCGTCATGGGACTAGAGCAGACGTTGATTGTCGCTCCTCCTCATCTGTTGCCAGCCACAATATGAAACTTCCTCCCCTCCTGTCATCTGAGGGGAGAGTGCCACGGTGGAAAGACGTTCACTACCTCTAGATTTGAAGCTTTCGTGACTGCAAGGATTCATACTCGTAGTTTTTTCGGTAAAGTCACGTAGGTAAACAATGAAATTAAAATTAATAAAAATAAAATGATAAAAATTACGACTTTTCGGAGGCACGTCGTGATGTTTATTATTTTATTTTTATGAATTTTAATTTCATTGTTTACCTACGTGACTTTACCGAAACAACTAAGAGTATGTTCACTACCTCCCCTGGTATACAGGAGATCGTGGGTTTGATCCCGACCCTGACCCCTGCTGTATATTTGGAGTTTGTTCTCCGCGTGGTCGTGTCGATTTTTCTCCGGGTCCTCCGGTTTTTCCTTCCATATTTAGAAACGTGTTTTAGAAAAATTGTCTGCGATAAATTTCCACGTGATAAGCCACTTCGTTGAGCTATCACTTGTGTCCAGGTTGCTTCTTAAAAAGGGGCTCTGTAGCTCAGTGGGCCTTACCTGGTAAAATAAAAATAGTTTCGTTTTTGTTTATTTGTGATGTTAACTCTGCGCAACTGCTCAAATCCAGACTCAAGACCTCTCTCTTCTCTTTTGGCTATAACTGACTAACTTACGCCTATAACAAACTCACTCTTAGTATGGTTGGCTACGTACGATGCGAAAGAAGCAAAACATGCATGTATACACAATGTAAATGGCTACGTACGATGCGAAAGAAGTAAAACATGCATGTATACACAATGTAAATGTTACCGTCTACTTGATGCGCATGTCAAAATGCTTTGTACAAAGCAGCTGTATTTAGATGCTTTGTGAATACACCTCGCATGGTAATGTAATGCAAGGCCTTAATAACATCATCTTTGGATTAAAGTCGGTTATAATCAGACCTGCACGGATTAAAGGGCTGTAAATAAATGATTTAAAAGGTCTAATATGATAAAAAAAAATAGGTGACATTGATATAGAGGGCTCGTGTCAAATAAATGTCGCTTCCGTCCAAATCGAATTCATGTTATCAAACGTCGTCCTTCCCGCGCACCGCTGATTCGTGCGGGTGGCTACGTACGGTGCGAAAGAATATTATTGGTTCTTTCGGTAAAGTCACGTAGAAGGGAAATAATAAAGTAATAAAAATTCAACATAATATAATAAAATTCTCACGACGAGATTAGCAGTGTTCATTAAGACGCCGTCTTTCCGACAGCTCTGTTTCTTCACCTGAGGACGGCTGCTTGCGTTGTGGCCGAAACGTCGTGAGAATTTTATTATGTTGTTTTATTTTTATTATTTGTTATTATTTCCCTTCTATGTGACTTTACCGAAAGAAACCAAGAACATGAATCCCTGCAGTCACGAAAGCTTTAAATCGAAAGGTGCGAAAGAAGTTCGACGTACAACGTGGCGCATTCAAATGCTCGTCCCGACACGGCAGAAATGTTGAACGCTCGCAATTTATACGGTGCTGTTCTTGTTGTTGTTGTTGCTGCTGTTGTTGTAGTATTATTTACGCAGGACGGCTTGTCTGGAGGTGAAGAAGCTCAACTCTGCGATGTCTTTTTTTCAGGATTGTTGCCTCAACGTGCGCAGCGCGAGCGTGAAACCCCACGCAGCGGCACGAAAATACATTTTTTTCCTTTTACACAAGGGCCTGCATCGGGATGCTTGGCGAATTCCATTCATGAGACTTCTGGCACGTGGGAGGAAACTTGAGTGTGCCTGGAGAAAAGCCACGCATGCAAGGTAGGTAACAGAGATATTATTTAAAATAATCAATTGCTATATTGACAACTTCTGGCCAACTCACTACCCAAGCCTATAACACCTGGTGTTCCCAGGCAGTCTCCCATCCAAGGCACTAACCGGGGTCATGTCAGCTTAGCTTCTGAGATCTGACAAGAGTGGGTTCATATTCCGAGTGCTTGTGTTTGTATTCAATGAATACACGCATTGCTTATATGTGCACACACTCTTACGATAATGAGCACTGGCATCAGCAAAACATATTTGGTATAAACCAAGCTCAATTTTAAAGCATCATAATCAGCCATGGTCCATCCACTGCTGGATGAAGACCTCCCCAAGCGACCACCACCTCCACCTCCCACGAGTCTGCGATGTGACAATCTACCCAGGGCCTGTCCGTACGAGGAGCTGATTTCATCGCTCCATCTCCACTGTGGATGTCCCTTCAGATGCTTTTCCATTCCTTGGCGTCAGTGCCTCCATTTTAACTTCCTTTATTGTCGTGAAGGAGTTTGACACAGGAGCTACTCATTCTCTTTGCAAGGGCTCTTTATGGCATAGCATGGTGACAAAAAGGAAGCAATTGTCCTGCCCAACATTGTTGCCAAATGTCTAGGTTGGTGGAATGGGGGCCCTAAATTTGGTGATTATAGCGGCCACACACAGCCCATTTGTATCAGTAATTACTCTCCCTTTCTAGCCATCCCAAGGGGAGTTGAGGCATCTCCAATTCAACCCATTGATATTATTTTCCAGGACACTCGTCAAAAGTGACAGGACAATTTGAGTTCTGTGGCTTCCCGAGGAACTTCATAATAAAATCATTAAATTTACAAACCTCAATTCACTGCTAGACGGACACCTCTCCACGCCTCGTCGCTCACTGGGGGTTGTTTAACCATACTTCATCGTGATTGTTCGTGCAGGCTTGGGGTGGTGGAACTGGTTTAGATCATCGCTTGCCACCTCATGTTCGCTGTGGCCGAAAACAGAAGGTCAGGTACCCAGGATCCACAGTGCAATGCTACTTTACACCATAGTACTCGAAACAGCACACATCGTATAATTTACTGTAAAAAAAACAAAAACATACGGACGAGGTGATTACAACGGTATCAATGACAGTGGTAGGATAGGTAAGCAGCTTAGTGTTTAGTGCAGTGAGCGATGAATTTCCGCCGCTTGAGTTCGATTTGCCGGCCGCGGTTAACATTTGCGACGAGTGGTATCCAAACCGGTCCTGGTGACCCTGCAAACCTTCACCGGCACGCACTGACCGGCGTGGTGAAACATGGTCAGACAATGCCCATGGCTCCTTCTTCTTGGTTCTTTCGGTAAAGTCACGTAGAAGGGAAGTAATAAAATAATAAAAATAAAACATAACAAAATACAATTCTCACGACGTTTCGGCCACAACGCAAGCAGCCGTCTTCAGGTGGAGAACAGGTCTGTCGAGAAGGCAGAGTCTGTCCATGGCTGCCACGGCACAAGGGAAGGCTTCATCCAGCAGTGGGTTGACTCTGGGCTGTGAGAATAACGACGAGAATAAAATCATCATCGTCATCATCACGAAGATTTTATCCTTATCGTTGTCATCGTGTAATCTGCAGATGCGGCCCCTGTTGCACACATTTCCACGCGTCTTGATTCAATCGATCCATCTCTGCTCCAGCCAACCCCTTTGGCCATGTTTCCCTGCCGTTGGCTGCCGGTCAGCATCTTCGCCCCATCTGTTGTCACCCGTCTCCGGCGCTGCGGATCGCCTGAGTCTCTTTAATCGTTTTCTTACGCTGTGCGAAATCGTGGTGGCGCACGCGTTTTCAAGAACACAGGAGCTAAGTGGTGACATGGTCGTGGCAAGCGCGCCGCGCCGTTACACTCTTTGGCGACCTGGGTTCAATTCCTGGCAATGAAGACCGTTGATAATTCACATCTCAACAGAGTGTGTGGGGCATCGTGTTCAAAATTAACCAAATAAGAGACAAAGGTGGCAACATCCCTCTTGAAAAGCCCTGGCTACACACGTCACCATGTACCACACCTGACCAAATAGGTGCTCACAATCAGTAATTGCTCTACAATTATGAGGATAAATAATAATCATTACGTCCTGTATTTATCCAAAATCGCTTCAACTTAGACTCAAGTATCTCTTTGAGGAGGGTCCTGCATTGGAATGCTTGGCTGATTCCATTAACGAGTGTTTGGCTTTACGTGTGAGGATACTATAGAACATCCATGAATATGAGGCCATCACACTCAAGGCTCTGCGTACACAGATTCATAGATTCACGCGGTCAGTTGTTGTGCTGCCATCTCACGCTTCCCAGGGAGTCTTTCAATCTGACCAGGGCCTGCGCAGTTGTCTATATCCGATGAGATTGGGCGCAGTGGTCATACGTTGTACGCAGCACACAAGAACGTAAGCGTCGTGAGTTACATCACGTTACCATTTGTGAATGCCTTTTGAAAAAACCCCACACATTTTCGGCAATTCCTTGGGGCAGATGCCAAAGCGAGACATTGTAAGCATGCGTTGGACTTTAAAAGTGAGAACGACTATACGCGCGCAACACACACACACACACCACTACAACAACGTCACACCAAGCAGGCCCAATAAAACAAAGGGGGACTCATCTTCTTGGTTCTTTCGGTAAAGTCACGTAGAAGGGAAGTAATAAAATAATAAAAATAAAACATAATAAAATAATTCTCACGACGTTTCGGCCACAACGCAAGCAGCCGTCCTTGCGTTGTGGCCGAAACGTCGTGAGAATTATTTTATTACGTTTTATTTTTTATTATTTTATTACTTCCCTTCTACGTGACTTTACCGAAAGAACCAAGAAGATGAATCCCTGCAGTCACGAAAGCTTTAAATCGAAATTTATTTTATAATGTTTTATTCCTATTATTTTATTATTTCCCTTCTACGTGACTTTACCGAAAGAACCAAGAAGATGAATCCCTGCAGTCACGAAAGCTTTAAATCGAAATGGGGGACTCCCTTTACATTGTGAAGCACAGTCTCCTGTAATCCAGCCTCGCCAGTCCATTTGAATGCAATGCTTAAGCCGAGGAATTCACGTGCAACCTTTAATCAGCCCCTGGTGTCTCACAGCTGTTGATGTTAATTTATTCCGGTTAATTCCACAGCCCGGCTTCTCCCCAGCCACCGACCGTCCCCCTCTCAATGTTACAAAAAAAAGACCCCGGGGTAAACAGACTCAGTGTAATGAGTAAACTGCTTGGGGGTTGTTGCTGGAGGGAAAGACTGATAAGGGACAGCTTGATGGGATGTACACTTTAACAAGGTTCTCAGCAGTGGTGCTCGCCCCTCCATCACATTGTTACACAACTGATTAGATACGTTGACTTCGTTGATCTTTGGGGGTGGAAAGCTCTCCACAAAGTTAAGCCAGCTTGGGGAAACTGGGATTGGTTGGAGGAGGAGGGGGGGGGGGTCTGGGGGAAAATGTGGCAGGAGCATTGTTGACTGGTGTTGCGTGGGGGAAATTAGTTGTCACATTTAAAAAAAAAACGTGCAATTGCAGAGCCTTGGGTTGAACATTCAAGGATATGTGTCCTTTTTTGTTCCACCGGAATTCATTTTGGCGTCGGTGCCGCGTGTCGTGTGTGCGGCAGCGTAGCAGTTAGCGCGCTGCCCTTCGACCCCGGTCAGCCGAGTTCGATTCCCACTCACGGCGAACACCCAGTGAGGGTTATCTGAACAGGTCCTGGGCTGCCTGGTGCGGCGTGTAAACATCTCCACGAGACGGCCAGGCATGATGCTGGCCACCCACCCCCTCGTGTGCTGCGCCAGCCTGCATCGGTGCTCGCTCATCGCGCTTGCCAACAATAGTCTGTGTCGGCTACACACGGGGGTGGGGTGGGGGTCTTTGTTTTTGGTGTAAGCAAGTAATATGACTGGTTTTTGGTTTTTAATTGATACAAAAAAAACAAGTTGGCAAAGAATACAAAAATAGTTAGCATATGACGACATTTCAGCCAAGTGGGTTAATTGTCAATAAAGACGTGGGCCATGTTTCTTTCATTTGTGTTGTGAGTGCACCCCCCTCCCCCCCCCAATTCAACTTTAAGTGTTTCTGAAATTGGCAACAGGGAAACAGCACACGGCCTTTCGTGAAATGAGATTTGTGTTAATTAAAAGTAAATACAAGCAACGCCAGCACTGGTGACTCGAAGCTACTGAGAGCGAGTCAGCACGTGGCTGACTACCAAACAACAACAACAACAACGGCTGACTACCAAACAACAACAACAACGGCTCACTAACAAAAAACAACAACGCACGGCGCTCACGCCGCCCATTTGGATGGCAGTGTATATTTTTTGTTGTTAGCGATGCTTTTGAAATCATTTCAAATGCATCTTGAGTGTGTTCACATTCGTCGTGCCAAGTGACGGAATCGTTTCGCAAAAGCCAAACACCGCCCCCCCCGCCACCACCACCACCGCATCTGACTCTGCACAGACTCCTACAAATGGACTTGGTTTCCCACATTCAGTATCCCCCAATGGCAAAAAGGCCAGAAGAGAAAAAAGCTTTTACTCTTACCATATGTCACATTTGTGAAATGGATATACAGCATGAAAATTACGCGATGTGTGTATATATACGCACACAAAGATCGCCCCGTGTAGCCTTAACAGACTGTTGGGGCAAGTGCTGTTAGCGAGCGCCTATGAAGGCCGGCACGGCACACGAGGGGGTGGGTGGCCAGCACCACGCCCGGCCGCATTTGTCTCCCCCAGTGGCGATGTTTACACACAACGCACCAGGTACTCATTTGAGGCCGAGTCGACCTAGGGGAGGCCCCGGACCGGTTCAGATAATCGTCACTGACGGTGTTGGCCGTGAGCGGGAATCGAACCAGGGTCGCCAGCTTCGTAGCGCAGCGTAGCGCTCCAGACAATGTAAGGGGAAAATGGAAAATGCATGTGTCTCGCTCTTCCTTGGCTGGTTGGTTTTCCCCATTTTTTTTCTCATCAAATACATCGTATAGATGTAATGCGCGCAGACCTGCATTTGTTTGTCGCGTGCAAAACTTCGGTGCAAAGCGGCTTACAGGTGCCCGACACCTTTTGAAGGAAATTGACATCAACGTTTAACCGTCGAACGCACACTCCTCTATTTCATTGTGCGGGCCTTGTGCACGTGTGTAAAATAACGCGCGCCGTTATTTTACAACGCCGCTGTGTGTATTAGTTGTATTTATTTGGCTTGCTAAAAACAAATACAGTAAAACCTTGGATTGCGAGCATAATTCGTTCCGGAAACGTGTTTGTAATCCAAAGCACTCGTATATCAAAGCACTCGTATATCAGTTGTGATCACGTGACGCTCGGCAGACAAAGCGTATACACGTACTACTCGTATTGCAAGACCTCGCTCGTTTATCAAATTAATATTTATTTAAAAAACGTGCTTTTCTTGTAAAACACTCGCAGACCTAGTTACTCGCAATCCAAGGTTTTACTGTACATCGTTGAAGGTTCGACTGCGACGCTGCAAGCGTTTACAAAGACGCACGACTCGTGATGAACGCGCCACTCACTGATGCCCAATGTTTCACGAGGGTGGAAGCCGACCAAATAAACATCGTCGCATTAAAAGGAGAAATATCACACGGTGACTTTGATTGCATAACATTGGAAACAAAAGACTTATTTCGAAACGGGTTTCGCCCCATAGTTTACTCCATCTGAATTCCGAATCATCGCAATATTTATTTATTCTGGAGGAATCCGAAGAGCTATGAAGCTTTTTTTCCCCCCACAGATGTCCAGGAGGGGCGGTTTTAGAACGTTACGACAACAAACGATACAAAAAAACCACAACAGGATTGCAAAGTGTAGGAAAGGTAGCAAATCACTTCAGAAATATGTAGAAATAAAACTAAACTATTTTTTTTTATCTTACCAGGTTAAGCCCACCACTGAACGACGGGAGTGCACAGTAGAGGAAATGTAAACAACCCACTTAAAAAATATATACAAATTAAACTAAACTATGAAATAAAACTAAAACTAATTCCTCGTGGGTCACGAATGATCACGGTATCGCAAGTATACTGCAGACATTTCCAAGACCATCGATCCTTCGGTGCATCAGCATCAAACGTCACTTTATTACCGGAAGCGCAGTGTTGTGATCTACATATACATGTAGGTCCCGGGTTACGGAAGGGTTAGAACGATCCGTAACCCGAATTTTCCGTAAGTCGGAAACGGAACAATTCCCCCCCA